ATCGCCGTGCTGCGAGAAGGATGGGCTGAAGAAGGGGCCGTGGATGCCCGAGGAGGACCAGAAGCTGCTCGCCTACATTGAGCAGCACGGCCACGGCTGCTGGCGCTCGCTAAGCTACTGTAGTAATCATAGTCCTGCGAGCGTTCGGTTATGGCAGGGCTGCAGCGGTGCCGCAAGAGCTGCCGCCTCCGTGATCGGCAGGTCAAGAACTCACTAGCATCCAGTCTTGCACATTTACGATGATTAATTAGGGCTCTATTTGGCACAACTTCACTAACAACTTTATGAGTTGTTGTGAGTTGTTTTTTTATCAAACGGTAATTTTCAAAACAGTTTTATAGATGAAGCCCATTTTTTTTTTGTGCTCTGACAAAGGGATGGGATGAGATGAAGCTAAAAAAAACGGCTTCGTGGGCGCCGTTGCCGCGTCGTGGCGCAGGCGGTGACGCTGCTCGAGCCAAGTGCGGCCCCACCACAACAAACGCGAGGGGCGCCGTTGGCTGAGGAACTGGGAGGGGCGCTGCCGCTTGGGGCACGAGCCTCTGCCTTGGGGCCGGGGCTCGCAGAGGCAAGGTTGCGGGCGTTGAGTCGATGCGGAAGAGAAATAGTGCGAAGAACATGAGAGAAAAAATAGAGAAGAAAAAAGAAAGCTAAGGGTATTGTGATAATTGTATTCTTTAAGACATGCATGAAGCTATTGATGAGGCTGTTTTAGTGAACAGTTTTTCGAAAATAGCTCAGCTTCACAAAAAAAAAGAGCTGGTAAAGATGAGCTGTGTCAAACCGAGCCTAGGTAATGCATAAGCGGGTACGTACCTAGGCCAGGAGCACCATGAGATGGGGAACATGTCCAAGCATTTTTCTCGGTGTACGCTCTAGTCACCGTACACATGTTTTTCGCAACGGCTTTAGGCCCCCTTTGGCACGGCTCATCCAAAACGGCTTCACCGGTGAAGCCAAAGCCGGTGAAGCCAGAAAAACTGGCTTTTCCCGGCTTCTAGTTCATTTTAACCCCAGCTTACAAAACGGCTTCACGCTACAGTGCCTCGATTTGCGTAAAATAAATGAAGCCGAAGCCGACATAAGCCGTGCCAAAGATGCCCTTAGATGAACAACCAACAATACATTTTGGCACCTAGCCAGTACTCCAGACTAGTAACTGGACTTGAACCTTAGCAGCGGTAGTATATCCGTACAAAAGGAGCAATGCATGTAAGCTTGTTCTCTAGTATAGTTTTTTTTTTTTTGAAACAAATTCTCTAGTATAGTTGTAGTAGTAGAGTTGAGTATAATACTGCATTGTTCTCTTTTGCCTGTCCAACACCTACTGCTGAGCTTGCGTGAGTTGATCCATCAACACCTACTGCTCTCTTGCCGTTTTGAGTCATACAGTAGTTCCTGTCATCTCTGCATCGTGTTCGTGTCTGTGCCAGCCTGCCAGGCCATGCACTCGTTACTGTCTCGCACGACCCGATGCAAATTTAATTTGTCAACGCGCGCGATTGCTGAGAACTTTTTCATGGCGTCCGCCGTGCTTGCAGGTGGTCGGCGATCGCGACCCACCTCCCGAAGCGCACCGACAACGAGATCAAGAACTACTGGAAAACGCACCTCAAGAAGCGGCTGGCCAAGATGGGCATCGACCCGGTCACGCACACGGCGCAGTGGGAGAGCGCGAGGCTCGAGGCTGAGGCGCACATGGCGCGCGCGCGTGAGGCCAGGCGCCTGCGCGCGCTCGCGGCCTCCGCGTCCGCGTCCGTCTCGGCGTCGCCGCAGATGCCCGGACCCTCTGCGGCGCACCAGCTCGACTCGCCGACGTCCATGTTGAGCTTCTCCGAGAGCACAGCGCAGGCCTCGGTCCAGGAGGAGCTCCGCGCCAATGTTGTGGCAGCGCGCGCCGCCATGCCACAGCCCATGCAGGCGCACGAGGCACCCAAGGATCATCTTCAGCAGCAGTGGGGAGATCACGTTGTCGATGTCGCTGACGCAGACATCGCCACCTCCGCCTCCGCCTCCGCGTCCGTCTCGGCGCCGACGTCCACATTGAGCTTCACCGAGAGCGCGGCGCAGGCCTCGGTCCTGGAGGCACTCCGCGCCGATGTTGCGGCAGCACGCGCCTCCAGGCCGCAGCCCATGCAGGCGCACGAGGAGGCGCGCAAGGATCATCTTCAACAGCAGTGGGGAGATCACGTTGTCGATATCGCTGACGCAGACATTGTCGCGACGGCGTTCGCCTCCGCGTCTGTCTCGGCGCTGACGTCCACGTTGAACTTCACCGAGACCGCGGTGCAGGCCTCGGTCCTGGAGGAGCTCCGTGCCACGGTTGCTGCCGTGCGCGCCACCATGCCGCAGCTCATGCAGGCGCACGACGAGGCGTGCAAGGATCATCTTCAGCAGCAGTGCGGAGATCACGTTGTCGATGTCGCTGACGCAGACATCGCCGCCTCCGCCTCCGCCTCCGCGTCCGTCTCGGCGGCGACATCCACATTGAGCTTCTCCGAGAGCGTGGCGCAGGCCTCCGTCCTGGAGGAGTTCCGCGCTGCGGTTGCGGCCGCGCGTGCCGCCATGCCGCCGGAGCCCATGCAGGCGCACGAGGAGGCGTGCAAGCATCATCTTCAGCAGCAGTGGGGAGATCACCTCATTGATGTCGCTGACGCTGACATCGCCGCGGCGGCGTTCGCGGGCATGCTTCTCGACGACTCCTTGATCCAGCAGCAGACGGAGGAGGAGAAGAAGTACTGGGTCAGCATAATGAACCTGGTAAACTCGTCGTCAGCGTCGTCGCAGACGTCAGTGGCGATGCCCGCGCTCGAGGCGTCCTCCTCTTCGGTGTCGTTGCAGACGTCAGTCGCGATGCCCGTGCTCGAGGCGTACTCGTCGTCGGCGTCGTTGCAGACGTTACTCGCTGACTGTGCCCACGCCCGAGAGGTGTACTCGTCGTCGGCCTCGTTCTCGACGTTCGTTGCTGACTGTCCCCGCGCCCGAGGCCTAGCTAGCTACTCTCCGGCGCTGGACTTCTGATTTGTTTTTTTCGTAATGAGAAGAACTCTTATTTGTTTTTTTGTCTGAACCCATATACATTACAATCCAAACGTTCAAGTTTGTATGTTGTGGCACTATACTACTGATAATGGACGTACTTCGCACTGTATATTGGTCTTTGACTCTCTTTTTTTAGATTATTGGTCTTTGACTCTTTGTATTGTGTCTTTATGAAATGAGGTCTTCTTCTTCTTCTTCTTTGAGAATGCTCAAACAATGGAGCAGAGGGATATGCCTGCATTTCGCCATCAATAGTGCAACACATTGGGTCCGCTCTTCAAACAGGCCAAGCCCATGACAGGCCTGGTCGAAATTTTATCCAGCCCGCTCGGTTTTTCCCATTTGGAGTCGAGCGCACCAGCTCCGCACAGTCGTCGGGGAGAAAAAAAAAAGGACAAGGAAGATAAGATCTCGCGTCGATTGGTTGTTCCTCTTATCCGCGGAGGAAGAACCTTGGCCCGACACCTCCCCACACCGGCCTTGTCCCTGCGCGCCCACGTCTCCCAAGAGCCGGAGGCTGCCACTTCGTTCTTGATGACACCCAAAATTATCCAAAGTGCATAATGGACTCCAACATCACATTTCTATCGTCAAGACGGTCAGAAAGCATACCTGAATCATCTCATTTGGAGTCCAGTGAAGAAAACGGTTTTTTGGGGTGTCTTAGCTAGAGTCGGTTAAGCTGAGTTTCTCAATTTTTTCAAATGAAAGAATGGATTGCACCATTGTGTTTCTCTCGTCGAGCTAATCGAAAAAAATATATGATTTGCCTCGTTTGGAGGTAGTGAAGATTTCTGATGTGAAAAGGGCAAAGGAGCTTGGCCTTTTGAACCCCCGTTTGCCCTGAGAAGGGGTCAAAACTGACTTTGACACCAAATGATTGGTTGTCATCTGATCTCCAGCAATTGAGCTTCTGCGGTGACATTAGTACAATTGTGAAGTGGATGTCGACTGATATTATGTTCATGGCATCCAGGAAATTGCCTGCCTGAACTATGGAGTCGATGCTTGATCTCTGAACACCAGGAAACCGATGAAAGAAGACAAGATGCTAATTCATAATGAACGATGGATGATCACAGCAGAATTCAGGAAACATTTCATTTATGTGCTTGAGCTGCTTCTGTGGGGTGCCTTCTTGTGGAAGCTTAGATCACTAGCTGCTGTTGATTCCAGAGTGAAGATTTGAGTCTTGAATCGATACTTTTGATGGGCACGTACAGATGCGTGAATGGGAATCTTGTAACGCACAGATGTGTTGTTTGAGCCTCTACCGACCTTTGTATGGCCGGCTTAGTACTTGTGCGGGCACACAAAAAAGTACCATTAGCCTTTTTAATATGTCTATTGGAACATAAAAATGCTGCCCCCTATGGTCTTTTTACTTTGCAGTAGCCAACATCATAGTTTAGTAATTAGTATTATATTCAATCACCTCAAAGACCGTCCATAGTCAAAAACGGCATCATGTTTTTTTTTTTTTACCCAAGGAATAGTAGGTAAAAGGGGAAAATGCAAGCTGTTTTTTTCGAACCATATAGTCTATGAGTTTTAAGCTGATGGCAATCTCTGATACTCATTTATGATATCACATGCCACGTTCACAGAATCACAGGTCATACAATATTTGAAGCTCACAGAAAACTAATGGCAAACGCAGCCTGCCGATATTCCACTGAACTTTTTCACAACAGAGACACAGCACATCTATAACCAACACGCAAACTCATGATCTGCAAGCAAGAAGGATTGCAGAAGCACACAGATTTTATCTTTAGCCAGCAGCAGCTGTGCACGCGGTCTCACTGCAACCGTCAAGGCAGAGTAGCTACCTGGGAGGTCATGCAGTTCTCCAGGATGGCCTTGGACTTGGTGTAGAGCGACGTGAGCTGCCCTTCCCGCTGCAAGATCGAAGCCGCGGCTGATCACCCGGATATCCTGCTTCAGCTCATCCAACTTCACCTCTCTGCGCCCAGCTCCCCAGCCAGCTCCTGCTTCTCAGTGGCGAGGCAGTGGGTCTCGTGCCTGGCGGTGTAGGGATCCATCTCGAGCGTCGCACACTTCGTCCTCAAGTCATCCAGCTGCGCCTGCTTCTCGGCCATGAGGCTGTCAGCCTCCCGCTTGGACTTCGAGAGCTCCCGTTGCAGGGACAAGTTCTCGTCCCTCAGCACGTGGCACTCTTTCTCGAGATTGGCGCATCGTGCCTTTGATTCCTCGAGCTGTTGCCGATCAGAGATGCACTCTTTTTCTAACCTCTGGCATCTGGCATCAGTAGGTTCATCCTATGGCACAGCCTGCAAGCAGAGCAAAAAATGACAGAAATAGGCAAATCGTACTCATCAGTTCCAACATATTCCTTACGGAAACAGAAACCAAAATTGAACTGAAACTGAAGGGTAAAGTTTCTCAATCTTTTTATGAAATATAAGCAATTAATTATAGCTTCTCAATCTTCTTAAGCTAACTGGTAACAGGCCCAGTAATATATGGAGAAGGAAAAGGAACCAGGTGACAGTCCATAGTGGCTAGAATTAAGTATCTTGAGTTCTTGACTCAACTATGTTGAATTTTCTTGAAGCAAATTTATCAAAACCATCCAGACCTCAGATGGTTTACCATGATCAAAAACATGGATCAATATTATCCATTTTTATAAGACATATTTACCATGATGAACTCTGCCTACTAGCTCACTACAAGAGATGTTAGGTTTTATGTCGTTCAGTTTATATGTCATAATATCTGCAATTTACATCATAAATTAACATTTATGACACTAGTTTGATGAAAAAGCTTGCATAAAAAACCATGCGCCTTAAACCATGTTTTATGTCGTTTAGATGTAGATGTCACAAATGTATGACACTGGTTTTTGACGTCACAATACACTATGCCTGTTAAAGTCCACGTAACTTTTTTGAGCTAGCCCATATTTTTTTTTTGTTGTTATTTTTGGCCCAAACGAAATTTATTGAACCAGCCCACATTTTTCCTACGCTACATATGGCTTGTTTAAGCCCATGTAACAGCCAAACTTATAATGGGCCAAGCACATTGTTTGGGCCTATTTTTAATCTAGCTGATTTCTTGTTTTAAAGTTTTTCCAGTCCATTTCTCAATTATATTGATTTTGGCCCATCCACATATTCCTGGGCTAGTGCACACATTTTTTTGGTGCTGTTTAGGCTTTGACCACACATTTTTGTTTTGGGCCAACCCACATCATCAATTTTTTTCTTCGCCGGTAAGGCTGAGCCCGCAAAAAATTATTATTGGGCCAAAAGACTGTACATACAGTAACAAAACCAAAAAGCCCATTCTTATTTTCAGATACGCATTTTGGGCAATACAATTTCAAAATAAAGACCATATTCAGATATGCATTCAAACTCCAAAATCACATTACATTACATTGTGTGAAAAACCAACAGATAGGTAAACATCGATTTAATATTTCAGTATGTCCTAGGAAATCTCTCGACAGATACGTAGCATCTTCCAGCTTCGGATTATGGACATGCAACCTTGACCTGATTCATACACATGTATCCCCTACAACTAAAAAGATTAAAAGTAAGATTATTTTTTGGTGCGATTTTTTTTTGTCGCTCCTCCCTTCCGGCCATGCAATACCCCCACCTGCGATCTCCGCCTGCTTTGAAGGAAACAAATCGATCACCCGAGGCCACATGCATGGAAGGAAACAATAATCATGCACGGAAGAAAATAATTGGCAAAGATCAAGCAAGACTCCTCCCTTCCGGCCATGCGATACCCCGCGCGATAGAAAAAGAAACTACCATCCCTGCGATCCCCGCCTGCTTTGAAGGAAACAAATCGATCACCTGAGGCCACATGCATGGAAGGAAATAATAATCATGTATGAAATGAAACAATTGGCAAAGATCAAGCAAGACGACTCAATGAGGTTGGCCCTTAATTTTAGTGTTTCCAGTATGCAGACCTGAAATAAAAAAGTGTCTGCTTCTTCAGAACATCAGTGGTGCCAAATAAAAGATGTGCATGTTATACATGGTGAGACTGGTGAACCATCTGTAATTTCCTAAACGAATATTCCCACCATTTGTATATAGGTCCATTCTCCTGCGTTTCTTCGTGCTCCAATTAGCATATAATATGAAAGTATTGTTGTGTTCATCACGACTTCTAGTTGACTACTGTTAGCATATACTTCATCTGTCCCAAAATATAAGTCGTTATGGGATATGTGCAGATGAAACTTTCTCAACTTTGACTAGATTTGTAAAAAATACGTGCAACATTTAACAATCAATTGGTCGACTCCTGAGGCCACATGCATGTAAAAAATACCTGTATTATAATTGGTCGAAGTTAAAAAAAAAGTTGACTTCTCGGGAAGCGAGAATGAATTCTACTTTGGAACAGATGGAGTATATGAAAGCAGTGTTGAAAACATTTTAACAATCAAGTTCGTCTCTGTCTAATTGGTAAGCTTAGACATCATAATGGCATCAAAAATTTTGACTCTCATAGACAACCTCATAGATCAGTGCAAAGCATCCCAATCCTACAGCATACACAAATGGCAACCTTAAAGACCATCTTAGACGTTCTGACATTAGAGTATATACGTGCAGACACATAGGCATGGTGGTGCAAGTGAGCAGCCAGCAGGAGTCGAGCGTTATGGGGTGTTTGGATCCTAGGACTAAACTTTAGTTCCTGTCACATTGAATTTTTAGATATCAATTAGGAGGACTAAACATGAGCTAATTATAAAACTAATTACATAAGTTGTGGCTAATTCGCTGGCCAGCGCCATGTACAGGATGGTATGGAGATGTGGAGGAACTTATTCGTGGATTTATTGGCGCACGAAAGAAATGGATATCGGAAATCTCTTTCTGCCGATATAAAAAATGATCTTAGCCGCATCACGAAAAGATCTACACAATAGAGTTTGTGAGCCTGCGACGCCATGCTCTTTGTGACTGTGTAAATTTCACGAACTTAGCTTTTTAGATTAAATGTCACTTTAATGTCGGTCATATACTTTTACAGTATTGTTATCTTATCGTGCTATCCGTGTATTTTTAGTATAAAAGTTTAGCTGTCCCATAGCAACGCACAGGCATGAACATATTTACATATATACTCGAACCTGTGTGTACATGATTATATGGAGATGCAGTGAAACTTATTTATGAATTTATTGGCGCGTGAAAGAAATGGATATCGTAGAATTCTTTCTGCCGATATAAAATATTATCTTAGCCGTATCACAAAAAAATTTATACAGTAGAGTTTATGAGCCTGCGGCGTCACACTCTCCGTGACTGTGTTAATTTCACGAACTTTGCTTTTTCAATTAAATGCCACTTTGACGTCGATATTTAATTTAACAGTATTGATATCTTATCGTGCGATCCGTGTGTTTTTAGTACAAAATATTTAGTTGTCCCGTAGCAACGCGGGCACGCTACCTAGTACATCAACAAAGATAGTATTAGGTGGTGTTTAGATCCAGTGACTAAAATTTAGGAGGTGTGTCAGGAGGATGTTACATGGGGTGTTTGGATACTAATAAAAAAATAAATTACATAATCCGTCAGTACTCCACGAGACGAATTTTTTAAACCTAATTAATCCATCATTAGCATATGTTTACTGTAGCACCACATTGTCAAATTATAAACTAATTAGGCTTAAAAGATTCGTCTCGAAAATTAGTCACAAACTATATAATTAGTTTCATAATTAGTCTATATTTAATATTCTATACATGTATCCAAATATTCGATCTGGCAACGACTAAAAAATTTAGAAACACCACCTTAGTAAGTACATAGCCTGACTTGTGCGAACTTGTTCTTCGTACCTTTTCCTAGCCTTCTGTTGCAGACTTCTCAGCCTTCTTCAGTTTCGCTGAAAGAGTTAAGGCAACTGCTCCAGTACTCTCTTTTTTTTAAAAATGGCACGAATCCCAAAGCAGATAATTAAAGAAATTAATTGTTTTATTATTTTGCATTTGGGTCCCCTCTGGGCTCAGCCCGTCCAAGCACAGCCCCGGGGCTGGACCATCCGCTTGGCTCCATTAATCCGTCTGAGACGGCGTTGCGAGAAGCTGTCGCTCCGCGCTCGCTACTCCTCCCGTCGATCCCATCCCGATCCCATTTCTTCGAGCTTTGCCACGAGGCCCAGGGCGGCGCTGCCAAGGATGTTGAGGAAGAAGACACCATGCCACCAGCCGATCTGATCCCATCTCTCTCCATATACCGTCCCTCGTCCCCGGTGTCCAACCTCCCCCGTGAGTGCGTCTCACTGTCTCCCAATTTCTGGAAGTTTGTTCATTTATGGATCGAAGAACCAGCACCTTGTAATTCTTCAATCCATGGGTCTTAGTTGTGTATGGGGTTGTGGTGTGCAACGCATACAGTTTTGTAGCAGTGCTGCTGCAGTCCATCTAATTAATTCATGGCATTTGTAATTGTTTTTTTTTATGTTTCATAGATCGTTCCAATCATGTTATGGCTGATGTCATTATTTGTACCCCTTTATGTTTACAATTATTGATTACGTGCAGGAATTATTTGACGTAGTAGCTGAAACTGAAAGTGAGTCAGATGGTTCTGCCACAAATATTTCCGAAGCCTCCCACACGGGTAGCAGTAGCGGTCACTCTCATAGTTCTGATGGTCCCAGAGGGGACCAACCAAAGGTGCATATGTGCACGAGCTAGGTGAGTCCGATGCAGAGGTAGATGAGTCCGATGCAGAGCTAGCAAAGACCGTTGCAGGGAGGGTTAAAGGGACTACAATGAAGAGGAAAACACCAAGTTTTCTTAGGTCACCAATGATGATTTTCAATGCTGTGAAAAAAAGGAGGGCTACTGACGCGAGTCCAATGAAAAGAGGTGAACATAGTTGATGTTTGACTCTTTTCCAATATTTTGTTAATAAATAAAGTACTATCCTCATCCTTATGTACTTATTCCTCCTACTGTTCATTACCAGGTACCTTTGATGATAAAAAAAACAGCGATGAAGAAGAAAATTAAGCCTACTACTGTGGCGTCCCAACCACCAAAAATGAAAAGAGGTGAACATAATTGATATTTGACTATTGATCTAAATAAAGTACTATGCTCATGTACTTGATTCCTTGATTCCTCTTATGGTTCATTATCAGGTTCTACCAGTGCTAGCTTTGATGATAAAAAAAACAGAGATGAAGAAGAAAATTAAGACTACTAGTGCAAGGACTTCCCACCTAGGAAGTATGAAAAAGAGAAATGGTGAATTCAATCATTGTCTTTGATCTTTTGTATAGTTTTGCAACTATCGTTGAACCCATTGTACTTACTGTAACTATTTTCAGTGGGCGTGGATTATAATGAACCAGATATGGATGCACTTGCTCCTCGAGAGGTAGCAGCGGTACAATTTATTTCCAACTTGTGCGCACATATCGAAACAAGTAAAAGACGTGTGGTCAGGACAGAAGCTACTTCTTATCATTGTTTATCAGCAAATGACATG